AAAAAAAAAAAACCAGAAAGTTACATCTCATCAAATATAAACTTAGATATCTGAAACTATCAAGGGGCTAGAAGAATGCTCAGTGGTTAAGAGCATTTGTTGTTGTTGCAGAGAACCAGTTCAGTTCCCAGCACTCACACAGGAGACTCACAGCTCACCTCTAACTCCAGCTCCAAGGATTTAACACTTTCTCCTGGCCTCGGCAAGCCATTCACATACATACACACACACATACACACATGCGCCCATGCATAAATAAAAATAAAATATTTTAAAAACTCTATCAAAAAAAAAAAAGATAGCTATGATGTAGTCAGAGAAAGTGTTTGACAGTTGTACATCTTGTTAGGATAAAATGTACAGACTATGTGAAGAAATACTGTATCTGGACAGTAAAAGACAACCTGATCTGAAAGTTGGCAAGAGCTTTGAATAGAGCTCCCTTCAAAGACATAAACACACACACGGGCACACACACAGCACGCTCACAGGCACAAACACAGATGTACACTAACAGTGTACATGCACAGATTTATACTCACAGACTTACAGACACACATGTACACAGGCACACGTACATGTACGTTCAGAAAGTGCACGGAAAGATTCTCAATATAAATCCAAACCACAGTGAGATGCTTCACAGCTAAGATGGCTGGAACTAAAAGCACAGACCATCGCGAGAGTTGGCAGTGACACCAAGATACTAAGAACTGGAGCCCTGGACGGTGCTGGTGGGAATGCAAGATGGTGCAGAGTGCAGCAGCTCTGAACCGCATCAGGCAGAATTCCCAAAGGACTGGAAGATTCGGGGACGTAGCATCATGCTTTGTAAATAACCGAAAAGCAGGAACAGTCTTCGCCCAAACATCTCAGCTAACAGATAAAAATGCTGAAAAGCCGTCCAGCAGAACGGCCAGCCCTCAAAATGGAGGCACTCTGCCGGATGCAGGAACACAGCAGAGCCCTGAAATCAAGCAAAGCTGAAGAAGCTGTGTGCTATACTGTACAAGTCGATTTTCACGGGGTCTCTGATGAGCAAGTCCACACAGACCGGATAGAGTGGAGGGAAGGAGACGCTGAGGCATGAAGAGGAGGGGGTCAGGCAGGTGGAGTTTCTTTGGGGACAGACAGCTAGACACGGAAGACGTGTCCTAGACTGGATCATGGTATGATGGCGTACCATTGCGAATGTACTGAAAAGTCAGTGAGTCGTGGGCCTTGAGACGGCTCCTTTTGTGTTAGGTAATGCTTACTTCAGAACATTTGAAGAATAAAGTGATGTGGTGCGGTGAAGGTCGGCTTTCAGTAAATGTAAGCCTGTCCCGTTTAGAGGTTCCCGCATCTTAACTTGTCCCCTCCTTTCTTTCTCTAGGATGCCCGGAAAGCCTGCAATGATGCCACACTGGTGCAGGTAAATGCCCGGCTCATGTCAGCCTCTACGTGAAGTATCTCGGTATGGGTGACCTCCAGACCGTTCACACTAAAGGTGCTGCCTGCAGACAGTCAGCACTGTGGAGAACTGCAGAATCATCTGACGCACACTTATTTTTAAGCGCTTTGTAAATCTTTTTGGTGTACACTGGTTTAGCTTTTTTTTTCCCCCTATGGAAAACTTTGGGAAGGTTTTGTTAGGCAAATACTGTTGACTTTATTAAGGAAATATGTTTTGTGCTATACATGTATAAAACTGGATGGCTTTGAGCTGCCATGGGGGTGCTGGGAATTGAACCTGGGTCTTCTGGGAGAGTTGTCAGTGCTCCTTTTTGTTTTTGTTTTGTATTTTGTTGTTGTTTGGGTGGTTTGGTTTGGTTTTTACTTTTTAAGATTTTTGTTTCTTTTAATGTATGAGTGCTCTGTCTGCATGTACACTTGCACGTCAGAAGAGGGCATCAGATCCCTTTATAGATGTTTGTGAGTCACTATGTGGTTGCTGGGAATTGAACTCAGCACTTCTGGAAGATCAGCCAGTGCTCTTGACCACTTTGCCATCTTTGCAGTTTCAAGGCTTTCTTACAGACAATTACAAATGCTTGCTTCCATAGTCATTTATTTCTGGGTTCCCTTTGTGGCTGGATTTTTCAAAACATCATAAATGGCCATATGTATGGGTGACAGCTGGCTGTGTATGCAGTGTATCAAATCAGGGTAATGATAGTTCTCCGTGTTCATATGTTACTTTGTGTTGAGAGGTCCAAGCCTTTCTTCTAGTTCTTTATAAGCTATTTGACAGGGGGCTGGCAAGATGGCTTCAGACCAGGCATTTGCCACGAAAGCCTGAAGACCTCAGTTCAATCCTTAGAATTAGAGTAAAATGGAAGGAGAGAGTCAGCTCCATGAAGTGGTCTTAATGAGCTCAACATGTTTGTCTGTCTGTCTCTCACGCACATGCACACACATAAACTGAAACACTTAAAGTACTTGTATGCTGCCATACATTGCAGACAGCTCTCTCTCGAAGACAGGAGTTTTCTGTGTAGGCCTGGCTGTCCTAGAACTCAAAGATCTGCCTGCCTCTGCCTCCCAAGTGCTGGAATTGAAGGCATGTGCCACCTCACTCAGCACAGACATCTACATTGATGCCATTCAGAAGCTGTTTGCCCAATCATCTTCTTCCTTCCTACCTGTCGTGTTTTACTGTAGCTGGACCTTTGTTGTCTGTGTCTTTTGGAAGTTTGTGCGTTTACTTTAGCTGTTCATCTGAAAAAGCATCCTCGTACACAAGAGCACACAGGATGACCTGTGTTCATCATGGTTTCATGAACTGAACTCACAGCGGCTCTGTTGCCCTCTTTGAACTGAGTCGCCTTCAGCTGATAAGACTTCATAACATGTCTAGGGCATATAATAACGCCATTGTCACTTTCTAAAGATCACGTCTAACATGGACTCCGTGGGCCGAATACAAATGCGAACACGGCGCACCCTGCGTGGCCACCTCGCTAAGATCTACGCCATGCACTGGGGATACGATTCCAGGTGAGTGTCTGTCCTTTCTAAACCCCACAGAAGTTTTCAGGAAGGACCGTTATCTCCACTTACTTTGTTCCAAAACGAACCTTATTTGTGGCAGTTTTGTAGAAAAGGCATCAGTCATGACCGTGTTCCTTGCACTAGGAATATCCGTTGACACTTAGTTGAGGGCTGTTTGTTCCGGAACAAACCCAGAGGCCCCTTGCTTGCTGAGTAAATGCTCAGTCACTGCATCCTCAGCCTTGGAGTTTACAAAAAAACGGTTTTAGGGCACACAGGATGGCTTCTTGGATAAAGATGTCTGCCTGGCACGTTTTCCTCTGATCGCCACATGTGTGCCCACAAATAGACACAGAAATAAAAATGTGAGTAAATACTTTGAAAGTGTGTAGCATGAAAAATAAATTTGCTTCTCAAAAAGATCTTTGTCTAGTGACCTGTGGAAACTATTTAGAGCGGCTATTTCTTTGTTCTAGAATTAATATGCCTTCCCAGCGAAAAAGAAAAGAAACCGCTCCTCACACTTAGAGATTAATAAAGGAGAAAACTCTTTAAGATAACACACTTCCTGCTCTGTTGAGAAGATTCCACTAACTTACATGTACCTTAGGCTTGTGCGGTCCACTTACACCGTCATCCTTAAACCTCTCTCAGTTCTGGCCCCAGATCATATTTTGAACAGCTTAAACAGGCTGCAAGTCTGGCCATTTAGGCAGATGAGAGATTTACACAGCGAAGATTTTGCGTATTGCCAGGATTATTTTAAGTATTCTAGTATATACTTTTTCAAATAGTTGTTACCTGGGGTCATCTTGCCCACTTGCAGAATTACGCTTTTCTCAAGAGAACTGCAGGCTTTAATGGCAGATCAGTAAATATTTTATAACAGCAGTTCTTTTAAGTTTCTTCGATATTGTCGTTACAATGTGTTTTTTTAATATGTCACAACTATTTTGTTTGTGAGGGGCTGTTTCTTTTGAGACAGGTTATGCTAAGTAGCCCCAGCTAGCCTCACTCAGGGTCCTGAGTGCTAGACTTACAGGTATGTGTAAACCTATGAAGTAGGGAACACCTAGATGTGTCTGGAGGAGTCCAAAGCAGGGAGAGAAAGAAGCAGACTAGACCTGGCTGTGAGAGCAGAAGCAGAGCAGAGAGATGGGCGAGGGGACCAAGGGAGAGGAGAGGAAGAGGAGCAGGGAGCCAGACAAAGCAAGCGAGCATTTGGTTATAGAGAGAATGAGTAGCTTTGGGCAGGGGAGCCTCTGAGCTGGAGGGAGTTTAGGGTAGGGAAGGAGGTGAGAAGAGATAGGATGCTAGGACTCTGAAATGTGTAACAGGTTGTTTGTGATATGAGGGAGCCTGGAGGCCAGGATGTGCTTTGGTATGGCTACTAGGCACCACAATAGCCATTTGTCCCTTCTGCCTTTTGGAATTTGGGGAAATGGAGTTTGCTTTGGACCTGATAAGATATGTCACCATTCTTGGCCAAAACACAGTGTTGTTGTTTATTAGTATTAATACTTGTTAATAAACAAATACCTAAGTGTGTCTTTGTCCTAATTCTGGATGTCACTATAATTTCTCCACTAACTCTACAAACAATTGAATTATACAAAGTGAGTATTTTGATTGAATACTTTTTTTTTGATAAAGGGTTTCTCTGTGTAGCCTGGGAACTCGCTTTGTAGACCAGGTTGGCCTCAAACTCATAAAGATCCACTTGCCTCTGCCTCCCAAATTCTGGGATTAAAGGTGTACCACCAGGCCTGGCGGTTGAAAACGTTTTTAACTTGCCAGCCGAACACATGCATGCTGTTATTCTATGAGTGTTAGTCATTTTGTTGCTGTTTCTAAGTTAGTATTATCTTGGTCTGAAAGCATGGCGGTGTTAAATACACTAACATAGTGTGTGCACCTCTTAGAAGGGATAGATAACATTATATTATTGACAACATAAAGCCGAGGCAGATTTTTTTTTTTTTTTTCTAAGTAAAGATAAAAACAGCTTGCCCTGGGCCAGCGCAGTGACTAAGCGGGTAAGAGGCTCTTGTCACATGATGACCTGAGTTTGTTCCCAGAACCCACATGGTAGAAGCAGAGAGCTGGCTCCTCCAAGCTGGCCTCTGATCTCTACACATGTAAATAAATATAATTTAAAATTTAGAAAAACTTACATTTTGCCTTGTGGATACCACAGACTTTTAACCCAAAATCTGATCACTGAAGCATTGTTAGTGGTTATTTCCTTAAAGTTTTTCTCAAAAACAAAATGTCACCCAAGAGTCTGCCTCCCACTCCTGTACATCCTGCTGATTAATTCATGGGTTACTGTTCTGCCAGCACCCATGGATGCAATTGATTTCTGAGTTTGCCGTGGTCCCCCTCAGCCCACCTTTGGACCTCCCCTCCTATAAACACAGATCAAAACGTTTGCCTGTAGGGAAGAAGACAGAGTGGTTTTTGTTAACTGTGTTTCTTTCTTATCTTTCACATTTCATATGTGGCGAAGGAGCAAAATTCCAGAACGAAACAAAAATCCAGTGAGCACATAGTTAAGAATTGACAAATTGGTGGAACAAAACTTCTGCAGTGTAGGCCCACCTGGGTTTCGCAGCATGACTGGAAGGCTCACAGGTCGCCCCAGAATCTTCTGTCCCTTTTCACTCATCATTCTTACCCTCCTCCTGGGATACATTTTACCTTTTGCTCTCAAAGTTCCAGTTTCTGGGGCTGGAGATGCCATCCACTCAGTGGTTAAGAATATGTTCCATTTAGCCAGGCGTGGTGGCGCACGACCTTAATCCCAGCACTCAGGGAGGCAGAGGCCAGCCTGGTTGACAAAGCAAGTCCAGGACAGCCAAGGTTACACAAAGAAACCCTGCCTTGAAAAAAAAAATGTTCTGCTCTTCCAGAGGATCCAGGTTTGATACCCAGCCCCCACATCTGTAACCCTAGCTCGAGGGGATCTGACACCTCTGGCTTCCATGGCAGCTGCTCTCCAGTGTGTGTGCAAACACAAGTACATAATTAAAAGTAGGGAAAAGTGAGCTCCATTTCCCACACATTCTCCTTTTATTAATGCAGTGAGCCGTAATGTATTCCCTTTACCTCTATGGTATTTTTTTTCAATATCGCCTCTTTGACCTCTTCTGCATACTTGGCTTATTATGAACATGTGCAAGTGGCTTATCTCACAAGATGGCCGATGCCTCCAGCATAGCTGTGGCCTGCCCGGCACCCACAGCCCAGCACTGCCCTGCCCTGCACTCGCAGGCTCCTGGGTGACAGGCTAGGCCTGGGTCTGCTGTTAAGTCAGCCAGTCAGTATTAAGCCACTCCACTGACTCCGATGGAAACCTCTTGTCGGTAACTAAAATGTCACCAGGGAAAAATTGAATCATAGACAGAGACACTTCAGTGAGTGGCTAGATACTACGATTTCTGTTTAAAGTGTTTGGCATCGAAAATAACGGTTTTGGTATACAAGTTTTATTAGAAAAACTCTTCTCTTCTGAAGTGTCTTTCAGAGATAAAGTGTCTAACCTAGTCAACTTCTTCCTCTCAGTGTCAGATTGTTCTTGTGTTTCTCCTCTAGGCTACTTGTCAGTGCCTCCCAGGATGGAAAATTAATTATTTGGGATAGCTATACGACAAATAAGGTAAAATTTCCTCACTTCTCTTAAATGCTCCTGTGTTTGTCCACCGCCTTGCAGATCTTCCTCACCCAGGGCCCCTTTCTGAGATGAATTCATTCTGGATCCAGACCAGCTTTTATGACATGCTTGCTTTTAATGTTGAGTTCTTAATTCTGGGGACAAGCTACAAGAAGAATTTCAGTGTGTATTTGATTCCCCCCCCCTCCCTCTCTATCTCTCCCTGTCCCTTTCTTTTCTCTCTCCTTCTCTTTCTTTCTCAGGCTCATATTTAGCCCAGGATAGCCTTAAATCCACCATGTAGCTGAGGCTGGCCCTCAGCTCTTGATTCTTCTGCCGATACCTCCACACAGCTGGGCTTACAGACACACAACACCACACCTGGCTTTTGAAGACTGTCATTTTTATGTAAACATGAACTTTTCAATGTTTCCAATTCCTGGAATGAAATAACAGTGCTGTTTTGTTGTTGTTGTTGTTATTGTTATTGTTGTTGTTTTCCTAACTATGGTGGGTGGTCACTGGAAAGTTTTTTCCTTGGCTTACCCCAGAGACTGCTCTATTTTCCTGGATGCCTTGAATTTGTTGAGATCTAGTAGTGAAAATCTTGATTTTTCTTACTGTAGCCAGCATAAGGAATCCTTGATTTCAAGTTGCTGAGTAACAGTGAAGATTTGGGGGCACACGTTACAAGTCAAATAATGCTGTGTGTGCATTCTCAGTAATTGACTAAGCGATCAAAGCAGTGTGTGGGGACATGAACGGTAACTCAAGCCTTTCCTTGAAGTGCTGGGCTTAGACTTATAGGACCTCACCTGCCCAGGGTAGGTGCTGTGCCTGTGAGCCCCACACTCACCCTGACCGAGACTAACAGTTTGGTATTAAGCTAGTCTCAATCAAATCCATTTTCCTAAGACAAGCAAACAAACAAAATGAATATGCTTTTACGATATCAGTTTAGATCAAGAGGAAGGAAGCATGGTGGTGTCAGAGGGCACGTGGACACTCTGTGGGGTTAGCCTTGATCAGTCAAGCATCTTCAGTTTTTTCACTTGACTCCTTACAGGTCTGACTAGACTGTGGCATTCCCTCTTTGAGATCTTGGAGTGTGTGCTGGTGAATACAGGGGCACTCACACAAGCCCCGTTCAAATCGTCTCTGATACATCTCAGTCCCCTCTTTTTCACGGTTCTGTGTTCAGGTGTAGGAGGTTTCCTCTTTTGTTCATTATTGTGCCAATGATTTTGCTAAAATCTTTCTTCGTATTTTACATCTAATCCAGTAGGCAGAGGCAGGCAGATCGCTTACATAAGTGAATTCCAGGCCAGTGGGGGCTATTTAGTAAGATAGTGTCTCAACAAACAAAGAACGAAATCCCTAAAGCTTTGCTTTTATTTGAAAAGTTGAGAGTGGGGTGGTGCTGGAGAGATGGCTCAGATGGTTAAAAGCTCTTGCTTCTCTTCCAGGGGACCCAAGTTTGGTTCCTAAAACCTCTGTCAGAGGGACAACTCCCTATAACTCCAGCTCCAGGGATCCAGTGCCTGAGGTTCTTCGGGCCCTTTGCCACACACACAGAAACCTAATTAAAAATAAAGTTGTTCCCAAAGTGAGCACTTCAATTCCAAGTGACCTGCGAACACAGAAGGGACCATCCTATATGCCCGTGGTGTGCCAGGTCTCATGGCTTCCTTTCCTGTGTGTTTATGCTTAGCAAGGTTTGCCTCATCAGAAGCAGGTTTAGGAATGACCTGACCAGCCACAACTGACCCCCTGCCTCTGTGCACTGTTTGCGTTGGCAGATGCATGCCATCCCGCTGAGGTCCTCCTGGGTAATGACCTGTGCCTATGCCCCGTCTGGGAACTACGTGGCCTGTGGAGGCCTGGACAACATCTGCTCCATATACAACCTGAAGACCCGGGAGGGGAACGTGCGCGTGAGCAGAGAGCTGCCAGGGCACACGGGTGAGTCCTGACAGGAAGAGGGAAGCAGAATTTACTGTGTTTAAATGTAGTAACTCGGGGCTGGAGAGATGGCTCAGTGGTTAGGAGGTCCCAAGTTCAATTCCTGGCACTCATGTGGCAGCTCACAACTGTCTGTAACACCGTTTCCCGGGATCTGACACATTCTCACACAGGCAGAATGTCTATGCACATAATAAAAATAAATAGAATATGAAAAAAAATTGAGTTAACTCAGAGTGCCCATGATGATGGCCATTTTGTTGCTCCCGTTTGGGGCAGGGGACCGCAGCTGGGAGCCTTGAGCTTACTGAACATGCATTTACACATGGAGGTATATTCCTACCCCTATGATTTTTTTTCTCATTCAAATATAGCTGTATTGTTTTGTAAACATGATAAATTTGCCCCCCACCCTCAATCCAGACAATCATAAAAAATGCAAAAGAAAAGCAAATACAGCCTTCTGCAGTTTCTGCTGCCCTGGAGCAGGGCTCAGGCTTGGATAGTCTGTGCTAGTGGAGTCATTTCCGTCAGCGGAAGCTGCCACTGTGCAGCAGGCTTACTCCCCAGGCGACGGCACTTAGGAAGTCTCCGTCACTCATGTTTTCCCCTGGTGTGTGTGTGGTCTGGGTGCTGCCAGCTGACCACATTTCTACAGTCTCAGAATGGGGGTTCCCTACCATTTGTGGGCTCTCAGATGCTGATGGATCTGAATCACGCAGATGCGGCATTTCCCATAAAGCCTTCACAGTCTTTTTAGGGTCTTCTCCAGTGCTCGGCCCGTTGTGCATGGGTTAGAGGTGCTGGATAAGGAGCGCCCTCTCGAGTGTGTCCAATCTGCAGCCTGCAGATCGCATGAAGGTCTGGACAGCTACAAATGCAGCCAACACTGTCATGAATGCAACGAAAACAAAGACTCCATTTTGTCATAGTTTTTAAAAATTCCACTGTATGGTGCTTAAGCATACAGTCGTGATAGTTTTGTCACAGTTAAACACACCAGGCTGCTGCCATACTTGATATGGTTGCTTTGAGTGTCCAGGGTGTGATACAGTGAGTACCTCAGAGGGGTTGAAGAAAACTGAGTTGTAGACAGCAAGGAATCGGGGTCATTAAAGCTGAGCTGTTTGTCCACTGATGAGGCGCTGTCACCTGAGCTTATGGGTTTTGTCCCATTTCTGTGTGACTTGATCGGAGATGACCTGACATTTGCTGCTCTCTGCTGCAGGCTACTTGTCCTGCTGCCGGTTCTTAGACGATGGACAAATCATTACCAGTTCAGGAGACACAACTTGGTAAGTTTATTCAAATGAAGCCTGACTTGGTGGGTACAGATCCTGGGGGGTGTGGTCCTTTGTGTCTGCGCTCGTGTTTACTACACAGACCCTGGGAGGGACGCTGTGGTCATTTGTGTCCGTGCTTGTGTTTGCTCACAGTGCTTTGTGGGACATCGAGACGGGGCAGCAGACTACGACCTTCACAGGCCACTCGGGTGACGTGATGAGCCTCTCCCTGAGCCCTGACTTGAAGACCTTTGTTTCTGGAGCTTGTGACGCGTCTTCAAAACTGTGGGACGTCCGAGACGGGATGTGCAGACAGTCCTTCACAGGACACATCTCAGACATCAATGCTGTCAGCGTAAGTGAAGAGGAAGGTTTGTTTTGGGGACAGGGTCTTACGTAGCCCAGGCCGTCCCTGGTGAGCAGAACCTCATAGGTGTTCATGGTGTGTTTAGATGGAAGACATCTCATAGTGAGGAGAACCACGCAGGTACAGCCGAATCAGGGATGTGTCCGCTCTGTCGTGTACCCGCTCTGAAACTGCTCAAGCCGTGTACTGTCTGCAAACCTCACACTCCCAGCCTTCCTAACAGGGTTAAAACTCCTTCGGAGTTTACTGGAGGATACTGGAGACTGAATGAATTGTGTATTAGAAGCACAGAGAATGTTGGACATTATTAGTTACTTTGTGTGTGTGTGTGTGTGTGTGTGTGTGTGCGCGCGCGCGCGTGTGCACACATAGCTATGGCTAAGCATGCCCAAGTGTGTACATACTATGGAGGCCCAAAGTGGACATCTGATCATCTGATAGCTCCTTCTTTTTATTTCCTCCTCCTTTCGTGATGTGTCTCACTGGCCCCGGCTGTCCCGGAACTTATATTTGAGGCATGTGCATAAGTGTGTGCAGGCGCGTGTGGAGGCCAGAAGAGGGCATCGAATACCCTAGAACTAGAGTTAGAGTCAATTGTAAATTACTTGCCAGACATACTGGATACCGAACCCTAGTCCCCTGTGAGAGCAGCAAGTACTCTTAAGTTTTGACAATCAGGAACAGATGTTAAATTTTGCCAACTGCTTTCTCCTCATCTATTGAAATGTGTGGTTTTCTTTTCTCTCTCTCCACCCCACCTGCCTCCTGGGTCTGTGTCTGTCTGTGTGGTACCGACAATTGAACGTGGGCCCTCATGAATGGTAGGCGGGTGCTCACGGTTTGTGTGTGAATTTGTTTACTACTATTATTATTTTGGGTTTTGTGTGTGATTGATGGGTGGTTTATATGGATGAGTACGGGGTCTGTGTACACATACCGAGGCCAGAGCGAGATCAGATGCTCCGTTACTGTCCACCTTAGTTCTTAGGGCAGGTCTCACTGAACTAAATGCTGGGCTTCTTGGCTGAGCTGGTTCATCTGCAGCTTCTCAGGATCATTTGCTTGTCTCTTCCCACCATTGCTAGGGTTATAGACACACCCAGCCATGCCCAACACGTCACACAGGAGCTGGGGGTTCACACTCAATGTCCTCATATCCTCATGTATGCAAAGCAAGCATTCTTTCCCAGCCCTGCCACAGTGAATTTATAGAGATGGATACTGTTTTCATAGTCAGTTTTGTTTGTTTGTGGGGACGAGGCATTAAGTATCGACTTTGTTAAGCTATTGGTACACGCTGAGGCCTCCTTTTGAAATGAAAAAATAGTTAAAAGAAAAATATTGCATAAGAAATTTAAGCCACAGTGCCCAAGCCTTAGTCCCAGCACTTTAGAGACAGAGGCAGGAGGATTGCTGCAAATTAGAGGCCTGCCTGGGCTACATTGTGGAGCTCCATCTTCAAAAAGCCAAGAGTAGAGCCAGGCAGTGGTGGCTTTTTAATCCCAGCATTCTGAAGGCAGAGGCAGGCGGATCTCAGAGCAAACTCCAGGACAGCCAGGAGTACGCAAAGAAGCCCTGTCTCGAGAAGCCAAACAAAAAGCCAAGAGTGAGTTTGGAGAGATGTGATAGAAGGAAGTGGTCAGAAGCCCCAGCTCAGGAAAGTAGGCAGGAAGAGTTCAGAGACATCTTTGAACTTCATGGGACCAAATGCAGTGGGTGGAAGGAGGAATTGATGGGCAGTGGTCCTTGGTCCTGGAGCCTCCCAGGAATCTCTGAGGAAAGCATATCCTGTTTGGAGAGGAAAAACAGGCCCTGTTCACTGAGAGTAGCTTCAGCCATTTGTAACCTAGTGGGAGCGCTGCCCTGCAGGCCCTGCCTGCCTGTGGGACTGTTAGTGAAACAGTGGGAGACTGTCTCCCTAGTCATACCACCAGGATGGGACTAACACCGCCCTCACCGTGTAAATCCTCCTCTGTGTAGTCAGATCTGAAACTGAAAAGAGAGATGTTCAGAATCTGGAAAGTATTACTACTACATATTTGTTTTAGTAACTGGAAATACATTTAATTGAACTGGTTATATCCACCAGACCACGTATTTTAAAACCTAAGGGTAGGTTGTGACAATATCAAATGATTGATTACAATATTGGTAATATTTTAAAACCTCGTTGTCATTCACTGGTACAGCACCTGCTTAGCGTGCATGGAGACCATGCCTAACCCCTCCCACAGAAAAGGAGCACAAGGTTGTTGCCGGGAATTTAATGAATGATGTAGCAGAGGGTCAGCAGAGTAACTAGCAGCTGGACAGATGCTTAAGTATTAAGAAAATTAAGTTAAAGCCCTATGTTGAAGACTGTTTATCAGATAGACTCCAGACTCTAGATTAATAGATGAAATTGAAGAACTAAAACAATTACAGACTGTTCATTAAAAGTAATGAAGGAAGCCGGGGAGCTGACTCAGTTGGTGTTCCCTGTGCAAGTATGACTGAGCCACAGAAGTCAAAAGTCAAAAAAGCTGGCATGGTGGCACTGTCTGCTGTAAGCCCCAGCACTGCGGGGCCAGTTCTGGGCTGCCCTGCAGAGCCAGGGTAAACAACCACAAACATGAAATAGAGAGTGACTGGAAAAGAATGCCAGTGTTGACCTCTGGCTTCATCGTGCGCACGCACACGTACACACGTGTAAGGGGTGAAAGAAATCTGGCTGTGGTGACACAAGTGTGGAACCTCAGGAGGTTAGAGGCGTGAGAGTCACAAGGTCAAGGCCATCCTCAGCTACTCAGTGACCTCAAGGTCAGCGTGGAATGTAGGAGCTCTTGTCTCAAAAACAAACAAAAATGTTCACGAAGGAAATCGAGAGGTGAAAGCTCAGCAGATGTGACTACAGAAAACCGTAAAACTGCTGCATACTTTTTGGAAATACCGCAGGATTAATGAGAAACTGTCCCGTCACATTTGTGGCAAATAAAACCAGTTTACAGCCATTTTGTTTCTGTCACCCATGGCTCAACTGCAGAAAACAAATGCCACGAGAAAGCAGTTCCCAGAAGGTGGAAGTATGCGTTTCCTCTGTGGAAAGACATGTTGACTAGACATACAGCAAAAACGTTACTTACACACCAATCACGTCTGGGTCTCTATTGCTCATCATCTCCGCTGTGTGCATGTGTGTACATGAGTAAACACGTGTGTAGGCCAGATGCTGATGTTGGCTGTCCTCCTTGGTCAATCTCTACCTTATGCCCGGAGGCCAGGTCTCTCCATTGAACTCAGAGCTCACCGATACTAGTCTAGCTAGCTAGCTTGCTCCAGGGATCCCATTTGTGCTGCCCTAACGCTGAAGTACAGGCAGGCCTCCACACTCAGCCAGCATTTATGAGGGTGCCAGGGCAGGCCTCCACACGTGGCCGGAATTTAATGGGTGCTGAGCTGCGGACTCCAGTCTTCATAGGCACACAGTGAGTGCTTCGTCTGCTGAGCCATCTCCCCAGCCCCAGTGTTCTGTATTTTCTGAAAAATCTTTCCTATTTACTTTTCATAATAGGCTTCTTGAATATTTGCACAAACATCCTATACATAGTAATATTTGACCTCTGATCAACATGGGGAGTTTTGGCCTGCTGTGTCTGAGTGGTGCGTAGGACCCTCCTCTTAGGTGCTGGTGGACCCTGGTCCTGGCAGGATGCTAATCTTAGTGTGGCCGTGCAAGCTATGCCTGCTGTCACAGTGCAGTGCTCCTGACGCCTCAGTGCCTGGTACATAGTGACACTGGACTGAAATGTTTCGATAAGGTGGGTAGAGGGCCATGAGCAGTATTGCTAACACTGTGTGCTGAACAATGGACCATGAACTCTGCACTGCATATGCTATTCAGTCCTAACTCTTAAACTAAAACTAAAACCCAAAATATTAAGATAGACAGACAGACAAGAGTCTAAAGCAAGGTGTGGTGGCTCATACCTGTGATCTCAGCATTTAGGAGGCTGAAGCAGGAGCACTGTGAGCTGTTAGCCCACTGAGCACTGTGGGCTAACCTGGGCTACATGGGAAGCCCCTGTCTCACACAAAAAGAAACAAACTCGGCAGTCACCGACGTGGAGAGAAGCAAAGTTTAACGTTAAGCCTGCCTCACCTCCTCTCACTGCCCAGCCCAGGTGCTCTGCCTCCATGGTCTCTGTATGTTTCTATTCTGGTGTGGATGGCCTCGCCACACCGGCATGGTTTCTGTGTCCTTTTTTGTGTGTTTTTTCTTTCTAGTTCTTCCCAAGTGGATACGCCTTTGCCACGGGCTCTGATGATGCCACTTGCCGACTCTTTGACCTCCGTGCAGACCAGGAGCTACTGTTGTATTCTCATGACAACATCATCTGTGGCATCACTTCGGTGGCTTTCTCAAAGAGCGGGCGCCTCCTGCTAGCTGGCTATGACGACTTCAACTGCAGTGTGTGGGACGCGCTGAAAGGAGGCCGGGCAGGTTAGTGGTGCAGCCAACACATACTCTGTTGTCAGGAAGCATGGAGAGACTCCTGCCAGACACTGGAGCTCTCAAAATGGCAGTGGGGTAGCTCTCCTTCGTATTCTTCATCACCTTTGATGGTAGATGGAGCACATACCCTATTGAAGAATGACATTAGGACCTCTAGTGATAAATTTAGGGGTGAAGAACTATGAGTATCAATCAGTGCCATCTTTCACAAATCAGTTTTCTTTTTCTTACATCCTGGTTTTGTTTGCTTATTTGTTCTTCTGAGGCAGGCCCTTACGTTGTTAAGTGCCTGAAGCTCACTGTGAAACCCAGGCTGTCCGTGAGCACATCACCCTACCTCAGCCTTCCGAATGCTGGGATTGCTCATGAATGCCACCATCTTGCCGGGCTAAGCCATCGTTCTCTGACCTGACAGGAAGCAAGGTTTCTGCTGTGGCTCATCCTCTTGAGACTGAGGACAGGACAAACTGTTTTCCACACAGGGGCCCTCCACTGCTGGGTCCAGCCTGGCCTATACACTGAGACATCCATCTCAAAACAAAACTTTAAGTAACATGCCTATATTACTGCCATTTTGTTACATGCATACCTCTACCCTGAAACTCCTGCCCTGTATTCCCCAGTACTACTCAAGAGGAAAGCCAGGGCACAACTTAGCAAGTCAGTCTCCATTTTCACAAGTCTCAACTGTGTCTTTCTCCCAGTCATGAGACAATGTTAGCCCTAGCGAGTATATTCTTAGCTGGTGTAGGCTACTGGCTACTTGCTAATACAGTCCTATTTTGACATACTTGCTCCTGCTAAGTCCCAGAGAGCCCCATTCCCACTACTGAGGACACCTCTGGATGTCACCTGGGCCTCTTTTGCTCAGTCAGTCTCTATCTTTGGAACCCCTCACTTGTTGGGTTCTGTGCACACAGGCTTCCAGCACTCCCAGGAGTAATTTTCTGCAATGTGTTACCAAACTGCAGAGTTCAGAGTTTTGTGCCATGCAAGTAGAGTTTTGAAAATGATCTGTTGCCTAATGTCAGTGACTCTGTAAGGTATTTTGATTTGGTTGTTAACTTAATCTTTTAGTGTCCATAACTCATTTCTAACGTATGCTTAAGTTTAAGGCTTGCTCCACTGATAGCTGTCTTCAAAGCTGGTTCAGCAGAATTTCACTTTAAAGCCAAATCCAGACTTGGGAGGCACTCCCTCACTATCTTCTCCAGGTGGTGGGCAAGGTGACCCACTGTGCTTTCTTGTTACTTTATTAGTTTAACCCATGATGGTAAATTTGTTACACACTGCCAAACTGGAGCTACTGTGGGGAATATGTAAACCGGATAAGCTTCTGAGAATGAAAATGTTTAAAAAGAGATGCTGACTTGACATACTCTCATTTTCATTTGCATGTTCACTCCCTCAAATCTTCAGAATTGAGCCTGGCAGTGGTGGGTGCACGCCTTTAATCCCAGCACCAGGGAGGCAGAGACAGGCAGATCCTTTGTAAGTTCAAGGCCAGCCTGCTCTACAGAGTGAGTTCCAGGCCACCCAGAGCTGTTAAACAGAGAAACCCTTTCTCAAAAAAAAAAAAAAAAAAATCTTGAGAATTGTTGATTATGTTCTGTGTGGTAAGCAGGGTGGGTGAGTCTCAAGTCACTGCGAAGCAAACAAGTTGGTGAGCTTGATGGCTTCACAGAGTCATAACCAATGTTTGTGTTTGGTGGTGAATAGAAAGAACTAAATGATTTGAGTATTTTTTTTGGAAATAGGGTTGAAGACAGCTGTCTTGTTCTTGTGGGTAAAAGTATACCACGTTGAACTTCCATTCAGAAATGTTTTGAAAGTATCACAGCTTACTAGCAAAACTGGAATATCATGAACTTACTGGAGATGGAAAGAAAAATTAGAAAACACTACATAGGATGACACACACCCGTCATCTCTGAATTTAGGAAGTAGAAGCAGGATTGGGATTTGAAGATTGTTTTTAGCTGAGTACCAAGGCTGAGATCAGGCTGTTGTGAAAAAAAAAAAAAAAAAAAAATTGGCTATTGAAGTTTACTGTTATATAACTCATGCTTATTACAGCGGTTACTATTTAACCTGCTATTATGTTTTAGAAAATTGGTTATTAATATTTACTGTTGATCAGACATCATTATTGCGGCAGTTACTTAAGCACTACCATCTCAATAAAAGACATAGACATCTGCTAGGTTTTTAATATGTCTTAAACTCAGGCTGGGCAGAAACTACCCTCCTAAGCTCTCTTTTACCTCCCAAGCCCACATCCTATGCCAGCTGCTCTAATAACTCGTAGCTAGGCTACGTCCCATCCACTATCCCATAAATATTGACACACTTCTCACCTGGGCTGCTTTCCTCCATCGCTGGTCCTCAGGGCAGGCTCCTCCCGCCCACATGGTTCATGCTAACCCACAGCAGATCTGCCTCTCCTCTCACACTTGTCTCTGTCCTTCCCATGATCCTTCTGTCCTCCAGGCCAGTGAACCTTAGCTCCACCCACCTCACTTCTGCCCTGCCCAGGTGTGTATGTAAGCAACTTTACTTAGCCAATGAGGAGTAATTTTGGAGGCAAGATTACACTGCATCATTTTGGGTATGTGAGTGTCTGTACATAAAAGACAGCAAGCAGACTTCCAGGAGCAAAATAATTAACATTACAATACATAGCACCAGACCCAACCCCAACATCAGCCCGGGCTAGGTGAGATCCTGTCTCAACTTTTTTTTTTTTTTTTTTTTAAGATTATGACTTTTCAAAATTTAAAAACACAAATTGATGTTCATATGAAACATTGAAGTAACCACATGGTGTGTTGTGTCAGAATGCCTGTTAGTTTTTAATCACTGGCTGCACTGTAATGCACAACTTTTGCAGTTATAAAACTCCAGTTTTAACTCTGTATTGACCTTTCTTTGTAGGTGTCCTCGCTGGTCATGATAACCGTGTTAGCTGCCTAGGCGTGACAGATGATGGCATGGCTGTGGCCACTGGCTCCTGGGACAGTTTTCTTAGGATCTGGAATTAACAGTGTTGTATTCTCTGTTCTCCAGTGGTATCTGGAGAAACCCATGCTACATACAGCCTATAGCTGTGAGAAAAGAAAACAACAACAGAAACTCCACCTTCTATTTGCAGATGAAGATTTTTCTATTGATGGCTATAAAAAAAAAAAAGGCAGCATTCCATAAACCGTAGTTTATTGAAACTGTTGTAACAAAAATGGTGGTAAAAGAAACAGGACTAAGGTCCCATGCTGAGGTCAAAGGTCAGGGTATTGAACAGTATGGCGACTTTACCCTGACAAACTCTTTCTTGTGCTAATTTTTTTCTGTAGATTAGAGTGCGCACTGTATGGCAGACAGCCATCGTGTTTGCATTTTGTTAGAGACTACCCTTGAACTTTGTATATACAAGAAATGTCACATTTTTCAAGTGTTGTTATGGAAGAACCAGGGCCTGGGATAGACAGAAGTGATGCTATAGATTCATGTGCCATCTGAAGGAAGTCCCCCTGGGTTCTGACATCACATTTTAACCTGAGAGTCCCTCTTGGCTTCATGACTAGGAGGGCTGATAGGTGTCTCTGAGGGAGCCGGCTGCTGTTCACGCATCCTTTGCCATGCTAGTAATTTAATAAGTAGCCATTTTCAACCCTTTGAGGGTATAGGTGATGTGAAGGCCAGGGGGTAGACATTCCACTTTGACGTAGGGGACATGCTGAAGAAATGTCATTACAGTTTAGTACATTAGTAACCAGTAGACACTGGCATGTCATTTTGGTATTCTAAAAGGCTGAGCCTTTTGAACTGTTGGGCATTGCTGTTAATTTCACATTCCGAAACCAAGTGTAGAGCATATTAGTGTTTCAGAAGTTTGACAGAACCTGACTTGTACCCGAATCTGAACTCTTGCCCAGTGTTCTCTATAATAGGTAGGAAACAGTGTCTCACCTTTAACATTTCTGAGAAATGTAAACTCATCCACTCAGCTGGCACTAACTTATATATAAGATGGCTTTATGACTTCTATGTAATATAAAATGTATGTAATTAATGTAAAAACAGGTATATATTATCTGTGCCCTTGAACATTTGCGTTTCCATTCTGGTGGTGCTGCAGAAGGAGCCCCGGGCCTTGTGCCCACCAGGCAAATGCTTTAGTGACTTACACCCTGGCTCCACAGATTGAAGCCTTCTGCTGCTGTTGTAGCACTGCTCTCTGTAGCATGACGTACATGTTTCTAAGTAGCTTACTGCAAAGCATGTCTAGAGCTGAGCAACCCTTGAGCCTGCACCACTGTTTCAGAGGGGTTCAGCCAGCAGCAGGCTACGCCAACTGCTCAGTAAAGTGTCTGCCACTGGGATGCCCTGCGTCCAGACGGAGTAGACACCTCTCCTCAGTTTCTCCTGCAAATTTAAATGACTGACAGAGGCAGACTGTGAAGTCTTGCTTGGTGCTGCCTCCTTGGGTTATTTGGATGTATACAAACACATTCTTTTTTTTTTGTAACTCGGCACAATGTAAGCAGCTGTGTGGCAGTTTCTGTGTTAAAGTTGATCACCTATACGTGTAACCCAAACTGTATGAGTTTTCATCTTTGCTGTATGAATGTGCCCATGTACACAAGAGCTGTGACAAAAGACACACTAGCTTTGTTTATTAAGGTCAGTTGATCTTAAGAGAATACAGTGGACAGAGCCTCAACCCACCCAGCTTCAGGGTTGGACTGGGCCAGAAAAAGAATGGAAGAGACACACAGACACAGGAAAGCTGGTGCCAGCTGGACTGGGCTCTGAAGGAGAAACTGCAGAAGCCAGGAAGTTCAGTATGTTTGTTACTTGGAGTAGCATGTGGTGGTGCTATTGCACACAGATAATCAAGGAGGCAGAGTTAATGGTACACAGCTGGATTGAGGAGACGGGTTCAGCCAATCTCTGCAAAGAGCATTCCCTATAGGAAAGCAGGCTCCAGGCTGTAAATACCAGGGAACAGGGGAGCTAAGGTGGGCATTTTCTACACATACCGTCAACACTCATCCTCAACAGGAGGGCTTTGGTGTTCTTCCATGGGTCTGAGGCAAGGGTCCTTGACACAGCAGGACCCATGACAACGCATTCACTCAGGGTTTCCTGTGCTCCCTATGGGGTAGAGAGGAACTGAGATACAGTATTTGAGAAACAGACCATCAATGGCAAGTGTGAATGTGTACTTTAATTTCTGGGACCCCTTTCCTCTGTTTGTGAAATAGGTTACTTCCCAAATAGGGCATGATTTATTTAAAAAAAAAAAAAGTTGACAATGCTAGGATGGAATCTGGCATTCTTGTACATACACCCAGAAAGGGCTCTACCACTGGGCTCATCTGCAGCCTATCCCAGCCAAGCCAGAGAGGTGAGGCACATTAGAGGATCATCATTATTACCCCCAAAAGGGTGTGTGTATAAGTCCTGCTGTGTGGCTCAGAATCATCTTAAAACCCTGTTCAAAACAGCACTTTTATTATGTGTAAGAAACAGAAAATGAGGTTTGGGGGTTTAATCTGGGGTAAAGTGCTTGATGTGTAAGGCCCTGGTTTCAGTCCTCAGCCAGTGAGGGGATTATTTGTGTTTGTCAGTCAAAAGTCATACTAGAACAACTCTGGTCCTAAATACTTTTAAATGTTATTTAGAGCTTGAAGAATTGGCTCTGCAGTTATGAACACTTGATACTCGTGCAGAGAACCTGGGTTGGAGTCCCAGCATCCACATGGCAGCTCAGACCCATCTGTAACTCTGGTCCCACGGAGTCTGACTTCCTTTGGCACCAGACACATAACATACAGAAAAACATTCAGACACATAAAATATGTTTAAAAAGAATGTACTTTCATGAAGTTTATGTAGGACAGAACTTAGAGGTTTCCCTTAATGTGTACCTGGAGAGGATCCATGAACATGGATGTGGCCAACTGCACACAGCACCAACTGTTCACACAGCGGTGACCTTATGCTGCTCTCTACTGCTCGGTGCCTTTGGGGTTTCTCTGCTGTTTCTGTTACAGCTGAATACAATGGCTTGCCTGAGACTTCCTGAAATTAGCCCACATAATGTGCCTTAGCAGGTGGATGCAAAGCTTGCATAACATCAAGCAAAAGTCGCCTGAAATCGGCAAGGGTTTTAACAGTTTGCTGTGGCTCCTGCCTTGGCCTCCAGCTGGGGCCACAGGCATGTGCACTGAGCCATTTCCTCAAGCATATTGTAAAGGCACATGTTCTTTTCTAAAACAGTGACCACCATGTGGTTGAGTAAGCACCTCAAAGTGCTATTCAGCAAGGACATCTCTAGCTACCTTGAGATGGACAAGCTCCATTTTTGGCAGCTGTGCTTTTAGACTAAATATTCCAGGTTCTTTCCTAGCTCAGACTTAAATCCTGACACACATGTACTGTACTGAATTCCAGATTCATAAAAGCGAAGCGTTGAGGCCTGGAACTTCCATTTTAATGGCAAGCTGATGGTGTTCCTGGACTGTTAAGGAAAGGCAATCTATTAAAAGAAGCTAGGTGTGGCGGTGCATGCTTGTAATCTTCAGTTGGGAGGCTGAGGCAGCCAGCCAGGGCTATCAGATGGAAACCTTATCTGGACGGATGGCTCAGTAGTGAAGCCTGCTGCCTGTTCTTGCAGAGAACTTGACTTTAGTTCCAATTCAGGTGGCTGCCTGTATCTTCAATGGATTCGTAGTCCTGTGTCTTCCTCAGGCACCCAAACACATACGCAGTTTAAAATAAATCCATTATTTTTTAAAGAAAAGAAACTCTATCTTAACAAAATCATAAAAACTATCATTTTTATCGCGGAAAGTATTTTCTAATCCTGTTGATGTCTTAGATTTAGTAGTAAAACTAAGACTTTGTTTTAGAAGTGAAACCATTCCAGGAAATTATGTGAATATGAACGTCTTGGATTTTGAACTGTAACACACATTTGTGCTTTGTTACTGACTAGAATAGACAAATGGAATAAGCAATCCCCCAAATGGACCTGTCCTCATTTCAATAAGGAACATTCTTTTAGAATCTGCAGGTCACACCAGGCTCATACTAGTACTTCAGTTCTGTGTTCACATGCTTTTTCTCTGGCCACTGTGGAAAGCATAGTTTAAAATGTCTTAGCTCCTGTTAAAAGCCACCCACAGGTTGAGTGTCCTTTACATAGAGGGACTGTCTTAAACTGGACCATGTGGAGCATGAAGCACACAGTAGGTACACTTCTGCTTCTCCTTGGTTACAACAGGTGCTCAAAGTATGTGTAAGCCAGCATTGTTAGCCACAGACTGATGGAACACCTTGTGTTTGGGAAATGTTTTCCATGTTTAAAAGTCCCCCCCTCCCCCCCGCCTTTAAACCCAGCTGGCTGATTTTGTAAAACTGGTGTAACAATGTAGCATTATGAGGAAAAATCTTGTTTCAACTAGTATGAAATGTATCCAACACAATCTCCCATAGCACAGCCCATTAACTAGGGCTTCAGTGGTTAAGCTGCAGGCTGCCCAGCCTTTTCTGTCTTTACTCAAAGGTGCTCTAGCCTATCATTTTCTCATTGAAGAGGCTTCTCCTTGAACATCTGCATTGTCTCACTGAAGGCACAAGACAGCCCATACCTCAAGTGTGTCTTCAAGCTGGTTTGAGTATTTTCCTATAAGGCATCTTAGAAACGCTTATTCGTAGCCTAATTTTTCAACACATGAAGCCACGTGACTGTGAATGCCAGTCATGTCTAAAGCTTGGTCATACAAGCAGAGGACTTGTGCCATGATTCAACAGTGTTCTAGATACAACAGCCATTCACTCCTTCATTTGTACAGTTGCTTGTGAAATACTGTTGCAGTGAGCTGATAATTTATCAATAAAGTGCTTTTCTCCATGGCTCATTGTACCTTGTTATAAATCAAATTTTAGTAAGATTTAAAAAATTATGCCCTAGAACTAAACTCAAGCCCAGTACTTTTTTTTCCCATAAAAAAAAGGCCGTAAGAGGGGGAGATTGGAATGCTACTGACCCCAAACTACCATTTAGCTTATTGCTAAAGGTTACAGACTTCCCGTTCACAGGCATGTCATGACTTCCCTTAGTGGGGTGTAGGACCCAGGTCTGCACTTCTGGAAGATCCCAATCTGAGCTAGTTTGTACTTCATGGTAAGATCTGTCTCAAAAGACACACCCAAGCTTCCCCTGTAGCTTCTTTGGAAAAATTTAGTTCCATTTTTTAAATAGTCAATTTTGCTTATAGTAGAGATTTAACATATTTGTATTATCCCATTACAATTTGAAGATTAATGAGGAGAGTTTACATTCCAGGACCTTGGAGATAGAGGCAGAAGGATCTCTGAGTTTGAGGCCACCCTGGTATACAGAGCAAGTACAGGACAGCCAGGGCTACACAGAAAATCCTGTCTTGAAAAAACCAAAGGGGGATAAAATGTCTGTCTTAGCTCTGTTTAGGAGGCTGCTCGCTCACTACTGCTCCCTGCCTACCTGCCACGGAAACTTCTCACACCGTGCCCCGGACAGTGGTGCACCAGGCATCTCACCCTTCCTGTGGCTGGCCAGTGAAACCAAATGACAGCAATGCAGCAATCAGGGCCTCAAACGCGAGAACTTCCATACTGCCGTGAAATGACTGGGGAGTGGGGGTGGGGAATTGAAACCACAAAGTCTAACTTTGAGATAAATGCTACATTTATCAACTAACAGGCAAATAGGTTTATTTTCATCTTGCAAGCTTGCATACTTATAAAAATCTTTTGTAAAAAGTTTAAGATCATACAAAGTTTACAAAATAATACTGTAAACATACACAGTATATCAAGTACAGTCCATGTGATGCATGAGCCTAGCCACAGCTGCACTCTTGTCTGGTAGATGAGCTGGCATATCTCAATATCTCCATTCTCTACACCCACAACTTTTTAACTTTACCAGCTGGAACTACACTCTTAACTAGTGATGGAAAGCATTCTGTACTGGAAACACTGGTTCCCAACCTCCAGAGTACACTGGGACAACCTGTAGGGCTTCTTGAAGCCTGCTGCAGAACCCAAACTGGATTTCATATCTGTGTTGAGGCTTGAGAATCTGTACTTCTTACAAGTTTAAAAGTAATGTTGATATCCAGAGATCAAACCCAGAGAACTACACCGTAGCTCTCTTGCAAATTATGTGGCTAGAAGTTCAAGTGCTATGTGTAACTGTAACGTAGGTTAGCAGACCTCAATTTTAGATAGTAATTCTTCATGCAATTTTCACTTCATCACACCTGGTTGCCTGCACCATTTGGGGGGTTAAAAATCAGCAATAAAAGGTAGTCACACTAAATTTGAATACTGCAGCCGAACACCCAATCTGTATAAAAATATAAGTAGTTCTGAAACATTTCTACAGTCTAAATAACGGTATATAATATTGTAATAGTCTTCAAATATGTTAAAAATAAAAGGTGTGCCTGCGGCTGGGGCATGGTAGCGCACGCCTTCAATCCCAGCACTTGGGAAGCAGAGGCAGGTGGATCTCTGTAAGCTCCAGGGTAGCCAAGGCTATACACAGAGAGACCCTATGTGTTTGTTTCTTAAAAAACAAAATACAAAAACAAACAAAAAGAGGTGCACCTATTGTGAAGACAGACCCTTAGGAAAGAAATGCTGAAGGTTCAAGGAAGGAAAGGCCGCAGCAGAGAGGAGATGGAGAGTTTGGTGGATCTCTTTCCCCTCTCCCTAGTGTTGCTGTATTGAATAAATATTTTTCAGCTTTCAGCCTGAATCGCTGACTTTTGACACCCCAGTGGAATGCAGTGCTCCTGGGATGGCACTGCTGACTTCAATGAAATGCTCACAGGTTAGCAGTTTACTTTTCAGTCAGGTCAGAGAAGCAGCCTTGCCTTGCTATGTAAAAGTATTCCCACACACATTGTCAATCAGCTCTTAATGCAGGGGCAGACACAATACCTGAGCCATAAACATTTCACTAACCCAGAGTGGAAGTGTTAATGGAGCCCCAAGAAATTCATGTAATTACAGTCAGAACCTCCAGAGGTGACAAGCCCAGTGCGTCAGTGAGACTCCACCTAAGGAGCCATTTGTCACGGTCACGCCCACACGGTCATGTTACCTTACTCCGTGCATACCCCCGTATCCTACTCTGGACATCTTCATCCCTTCAGACTTCCAGTCCACTTCACACTTAGGCAGAAAGTTGATGGACTCAAGGCTGAAAATGTTTCTAAAGAGACGGAGCGGAACCCAGACCCAGATAGTTGATGCATGACCAGAATGACAGGCCTTTCTACTAGTTCACATCAGCTTTAATGGGAAGAAAAGAAAGGGTAAAAACTGTTCAGTAGTGGTGACATCCTTGCTGTGAGGGAAAGTGATTGCAGGACCCCAGGAGTAGCCCAAACTCCCTGGTTTGAACAAACCAGCTCATAAACAAGTCCACGATTCCCATTAGAGAAGGCATCAGGAACTAGTACTAAGAAGGGATGAAAAGATCTCTAATTCCTGGATGCCAGGAAGCAGTTACTCGGAATCAAAGACAGAAAGCCTGGTTAAGAGCTGAAGGACCCATCCTTGGGCTGCACAGTTGGTTCCATGGTTTCTAAAGGAATTCATCATTTAACCCAAACAATTCAGTCTTTACTCCAAACTAAAGCAAATGACGAACCACAGCACTTCCAAAGGTGCAAACCCCCCGGGACAGGTCACTACCACAACCTCTGCAAGGCATTGATACTCAGAGTTACTAATTCGAACTGTGGTCATGTCATAAAAACGACTCTCCCCATCTTCCAAGTCCACTTCCTCCTACAGTGCCGTCATCACAGCAGCCTCTGCTGTTAGGATTCTTCATTGCTCGAATGTAGAAACTGCTTCGAAAAATTCTCCAGCTCACTTTCAAGTTGAACAGCTTTTTTTCTAATTAAAAGACAAGGAATAAAAACCAACCTAATTATCCTAACAGTCAATGAGAAAAGTACATTCTTTCCAAACTTAGAGCTCTGTAAGCAGCTGTGACCACCCTTTCTGAAATTCATACATGGCTGTTACCGTGTGTGCTCCTGCCGTGCTCACAGTGAACACGACCTCTGGTCTAGAGTTGTGGACTTCAATATCTATACAGCCTAACATTTGGCCTAAACGGGAGTCAAGCCTTAATTCACAGTCATGACTGTCTTAAAACCACCTTTAAATAAAGTGTAAAGTACTGAATGACTCACATACTACATGCAAAGAAGCTGGTAAAGATCACATTACAATCATACTTGATAAAATCGAATTGCCTATGAGGAAACCTTGAATGAGTTGCCAGCCACAGATCTATGCAGCACACACAGCTAGGGATGCACTCACAGAAAAGAGACTATCTGGAGAGAAAAAGGAGGTCTGTTTTGATGTCTCTGAAGGTCACAGAAGTGAAATGTACATACTACTCCTGAAACACTGGGCAAGAGGGCTGAGCCTAAGTTTATAATTATGATTCCAACAGTCATGCGTTGGTAGGCTAGACTAGTTTCTCAGATGAGCATCAGACACCACCGCTTAATGGCACTGTGAGCTTTACAGAGTAGACATACTTAAGGGCCACAGCCTCCTCCACACCCCGGCTCTGTGCCAAGCCTACTGTCTCTACTGTCTCTAGGTTGGAATTCTGCTTGGCATGTGAACACTATACTCGGTTTAAACAGAGTGGAATTCATAAAAACAAACAGGTGAGTCCTGTGATGCACTGCACCCTTTGTGAAGGCTCTAGCACTGCTCAGGTCATGAGGACAGCCCTCCAAGCTGCACACGCTGATGTGGAGCTATGGGCAGGGCAGACCCTGAATTAGCAGTTTTGTTTGGATGCTGCTCAGCAACACTCCAAGGCATGCTGGCCAGCAGCTCATGGTGAGAGAGGGAAGAACAGAGCTGCCAAGTCAGGCCTAATGGTGATACTTCCACTCCTGTCTTCCAGAGGACCCACGATAAACCACAGGAGAGCAGACAGGACTCCTGCATTGCCACAGCTTCAAACACAAGTGTCCTCGGGCCTCAAAAGAACAGAGGCTAGTTTTGGGGCTTTTCTGTTCTTTGATTCAGGTCTCACGTAGTCTAGGCTGACCCTGAACTTGCTATGTACCCAAGGATGACTTTGACCCTACCCCTGACTCCTAAGTGGTAGGCACCCAGGTGTATGCCACAATGCCCAAATGTCATTTTTAATGATTGAATTTCCCTTCTATAAGAGAACTAGCCTAGCCTAACAGAGAGTAAAAGTCCTATAAATTTTCTTTTAATTCAGATGAACTATCCTGCTGCAACTGGGTTCCCTGACATTCCAGAGCATAAGGAATTAAACATGGACATTCATTTTCTTTTTAAAAAGATTTTTTTTTTTTTAATTTTAAGTGTTTTTCTTACATATACGTATATGCACCATTTGCATGGCTGGTGCCAACAGAAGCCAAGAGAGAGCATGGAATCTCTTGGAACTGGAGTTACAGATACCTGCTAGATGTCCTTTGCCATATAAAGATTTTTCAAGTTTTTTCCCCCCAAGGCTTTTCCATTTTATGAGGTCCCTGTGGATGCTGGGAGCCAAACACAAGTAGGGGTCCTCTGCAAAAGTAGAAATGCTCTTAAGGGCTGAGCCATCTCTCCAGCCTCAAATATGGAAATTCTTAATTTAAAGCAACATACAAAATTAACTTCCGAGTTCTTTTACAAAGCCATTAGTGACTTCATATAAATGCATTTTGGATATGAGATAAAATTAGATATTCATGTTACTAAGGGTGAAAAAGCCAGGAGGTGAGGGACATACCTTTAATCCCAGCACTTGAGAGGCAGAGGCAGGCAGATCTCTGTAAGTTCGAGGTTCTAGCCTGGTCTAC